CCCCTGATTGCCCTGCGGCTCTGTGTGTGACAGGGGGCAGCGCCCCAACCCCCTGATTGGCCCTGCTCTGTGAGTGACAGGGGGCAGCGCCCCAACCCCCTGATTGGCCCTGCTCTGTGAGTGACAGGGGGCAGCGCCCCAACCCCCTGATTGGCCCTGCTCTGTGAGTGACAGGGGGCAGCGCCCCAACCCCCTGATTGGCCCTGCTCTGTGAGTGACAGGGGGCAGCGCCCCAACCCCCTGATTGGCCCTGCTCTGTGAGTGACAGGGGGCAGCGCCCCAACCCCCTGATTGGCCCTGCTCTGTGAGTGACAGGGGGCAGCGCCCCAACCCCCTGATTGGCCCTGCTCTGTGAGTGACAGGGGGCAGCGCCCCAACCCCCTGATTGGCCCTGCTCTGTGAGTGACAGGGGGCAGCGCCCCAACCCCCTGATTGGCCCTGCTCTGTGAGTGACAGGGGGCAGCGCCCCAACCCCCTGATTGGCCCTGCTCTGTGAGTGACAGGGGGCAGCGCCCCAACCCCCTGATTGGCCCTGCTCTGTGAGTGACAGGGGGCAGCGCCCCAACCCCCTGATCGGCCCTGCTCTTTGCGTGACAGGGGGTGGCGCCGCAACCTCCCCATCGACCCTGCCTTGAGTGTGACAGGGGGCAGTGCCCCAACCCCCCAATCGGCCCTACCCTGAGCGTGACTGAGGGTGGCATCGCAACCTCCCGATCCGCCCTGCTCTGTGCATGACAGGGGGCGGCGCCCCAACTCCCCAATCGGCCCTGCTCTGAGCCTGACCAGGGGCTGCACCTAGGGATTGGGCGTGCCCTCTGCCACCGGGGAGCAGGCCTAAGCCAGCAGGTCGTTATCTCCCGAGGGGTCCCAGACTGCGAGAGGGCACAGGCTGGGCTGGGGGACCCCCCTCCCCCTCCAAGTGCACAAATTTTTGTGCACTGGGCCTCTAGTATTGTAATAAAATTATATAAATATGTTCTCTCTTAGCAAACTAGTGTGGATTTCTTCCTTAACAATTTCATGGATAGATTCACTTTTACAGGAGATCTAAGTAGCCTCAGTATACGGTATTTTTCTTTCTTTATAAAGTTGAGAACACTTACCTTTTCACTTAAAGGAAGCAGTTTACAGCTTCTCTTTGGCATATCTAAATTGTCAGCATCAGTACTCTTGTGCTTTGGGGACATTATAAAGTAAAATAAGGGTGACATAAGCACTGTGATACTGTGACAGCTGATCTGGTGACCGAGATGCGTACCACCGGACTAAAGGGTGGGTGGTAAACACAACGTGGAGACACTGGACAATGGGGTTACTCACATCCGGGGCAGGATAGAGTGAGATTTTGTTACACTATTGAGAATAGTGCACAATTTACAACTTACGAATTATTTCTGGAATTTTCTTTTTAATATTTTTGGACTGCACTAGACCATGGGTAACTGAAACTGTGGAAAGTGAAATGGAGGGTAAGGGGTGCTTACTGTAACACTATATTTCTGTAGCTCTCACACTATATGCATCTGCAGGCTAGGCCCAGATCATTTTGAGTTGCTAATCTGGATGTGTGCCATTAAATCATACTATGATCTTCCTTTTATGGAAGATCTCCCTGTATGTGTAGAGAGCTCCCTGTATATTGAAAATGACAGAGTTGCTTGTTTATCAGTAGTATTTTATGTCTTTAATCATCATCTTAGACCAATCCCAATTCCTTTTTTCTATGAATAATTCTCCCCCACTGCCTCCACCTTGTTCTAGGAGATCAAAGGCACTACATAAACTGATAGAAGGAATCCTTCCTTCTGCTGCTGCTGACTCTACTTTTTAGCTTCAATATGCATTCTGGCTATATTCATTGTCTCTGCTGTTTTTCCTCTCTAGTCTGGATTTTATCTCAAATCTATTCCAACTACCATCACTATTTTATGTTGTTTATCACTATAATTGCGTTTTCTGCCTTATTATAATTTGTCTGTTCTGGGAAAAGTGTTTCCCCAACCATGTGCTGCTTGATCTGCTTGAATTATTGCTCTTGTGTTATTTCTTTTTCAGAAATTAAGCCCTTCACCCTGGCATTCATGCCCTCCACAATGTGGTCTTTGTACTCCTTAGTCTTTTCTTCCACTACCTCTCCTTTCTTATCTTATGCATGATTCAAGTTGTACTTCTTCTTCCAAATGAACACTGTACTTTCCTCTATCCTTTCCCTATATTTCTTTGTCTTTCTGATAGAATATACCCTTTACTTCCAACTAAATACACCCTATTTAAAATCCAGTCTTCAAGGTCATCTCATGTATTACCTCCTCCCTTGGGCTTTTGCTTGAAACTCTTTTGCCATGTTTTACATAAATAGTTTGTCTACTTCTCAATTTTTCTTTTCCTGCATGCTATTATATTTAATAACTCAGGGATGGTGTCTTAGTCACATTAGTCAGTATTTTTAGTGTATAATATTTTTCTGATCTCTGACTAGCTTTTACGGAGTCTTTCAGCTTCTGAGATCATTGTGATACAACACTTCTCATTCATCTTTTAATATTTAGGTTGAGCTCTTCCGATTCAAAGCAATATTTTGTTTGTTGTGTCTATATTTCAGTATCATTGCCAATCAGTAACATTTAAAAAAGTTTTCAAGTGTTTCAGCAATTGATGTACTATAGCTCTAGTTATATATTTTATCTGCATATCCTCTTATTTATATTTCTCTTCTTTAAAACTAGGCCTGTGACATCTGTGACTATAATCCAATTCTGATGCTCATGCTTTGTGTCTACATGTATGAAAGACTCCCTACATATCTCCCCAAGATGTTGGTGACCTTTCAGTGTTCTTTACATGACACTGCGAAGAGAAAGGTAAGGATGTACTTAGGGCCAAAGAATATATAGAGTTAAACACTTAAGAGGGGTTTTAGATATTTTTGTCAACCGCAAATTAACAGAATTATCAATATGATACAATAAGCCTTAGCAAATGTTACTCCTTCTAAACCAAAAGTATAGCAGAGTATAAGGGACAGGTTTTGCTTAATAATAATCATCACCTGCAAAGAGGTGATGACTCTTTCATGCAGTTGAGGAATGGGGGTTGGGGACATGGAAAATGAAAGTTATATACTTTGAAGGTCAAATCCTATTAGGAAACCTTAAATTCATTTCATATACAAAAGGACTGATACACTAAATAGAAACTTGTGATCTGAATGTGCTTCACTTTCCTTTAGGGGGAGCAGTTTACACATCCAGATAGATTTTTTTTTCTTTATTGATTAAGGTATTACATAAGTGTCCTTATCCTTCCATTGCCCCCCACCCCCCTGTCATGCCCTCACCCCCCTGGTGTCTGTGTCCATTGGTTAGGCTTAGATGCATGCATACAAGTCCTTTGGTTGATCTCTCCCCCTTA